ACATCCTCACATCACTTACAGAGCTTTCCTAGATATCTTGACCACAGGCAGCAGTCTCCAATGTTGTTTACCAAATCTGATGAATTTTTTCAGATCAAACACATCCAGCTCCTCATCTGACATCAGCAACACAAAGGCCAGAGCTGAATACTGTGCAGGTGAGAGGTCTTTTGCTGAAAGGTTTCCTGAATTCAGGTATCTTTGAACTTCCTGTACTAGAGAATTGTTACCCACTTCATTTAGACAATGGAATAGGTTAATTGTCCTTTCTAGCGATAAATTCTCCTGTATTTTTTCCTTGATGTATTGGGCTGTTTCTTCAATGTTATGTGAGTTGGTTCTTGTCTGTCCCAGTAGTCTTCGTAACAGAGTCTGACTGCAGTCGGTTGAGAGGCCCAGGAGGAAGCGGAGGTAGAGGTCCAAGTGTCCATTCTTGCTCTTTAATGCCTGATCCACAGCTGTCTTCAGCAGGTTAGCTGATGAGTTTGACAGAAACACATATAAAGCAGCGAAATACTCCTGGACGCTCAGATGCACAAAGCAGTACACCTTCTCCTGATACAACCCATACTCCTCTTTAAAGACTTCTGTGCACACTCCAGAGTGAACTGAAGCTTCAGTGACATCAATGTCATTCCCTGTGAGATCTTGCTTATAAAATAGGAGATTGCCTTTCTCAAGGTTGTCAAAAGCTAGTTTACCAAGTTTTAAAAGGAATTCCTTGCTGTATTCATGAAACTTAGTTTCATAGTTTTTTACATACTTGTCATTTTTCAATCTAATCTGAAAGATCAGGAAGTGTGTGTACATTTCAGTCAGAGTCCTTGGAATTTCTCCCCTGTCTGTCTCACTAAAAAGCCTCTCAAGGACAGTGGCTGAAATCCAGCAGAACACAGGTATGTGGCACATGATGAAGAGGCTCCTTGATGATTTCACATGTTTGATAATCCTGCTGGCCAGGCTCTGATCACTGAATCTCCTCCTGAAATACTCCTCCTTCAGGGCATCACTGAACCCTCGTATCTCTGTCACCCGGTGGAGGCACTCAGGAGGTATCTGATTGGCTGCTGCTGGCCGGGAGGTTATCCAGAGGAGAGCTGATGGAAGCAGATTCCCCTTAATGAGGTTAGTCAACAGCACATCCAGTGACATTTTCGTTGATACATCAAACCAGCTCTCATTGTTCCGAAAACCCAGAGGAAGACGACACTCATCCAGACCATCAAAGATGAATAAGACTTTGTACCTAAACAGCTCAGTGGATTGAAATGATTTCAGTTCTGGGACAAAGCGGTGAAGCAGATCAATCAGACTGTATTCATCCTTAATCAAATTCAGGTCCCGGAAAGGAAGAGCAAATATGAAGTGAACATCCTGGTTTGCTTTTCCTTCTGCCCAGTCGAGAATAAATTTCTGCACAGAGACTGTTTTCCCGATCCCTGCCACCCCTTTAGTGAGTACAGTTCTGATAGGTGTCTCACGCCCACATAAG